GGAACGTTACTACAAGTAAAACAAAATATGGAAATTATTACCCTGGTTTAATGAGGACAAGAGTTTTGAAAAGGAAGAGTAATCTGAATAGTGCAACACATTTCCATGTCTCTTTGACGCTATCATGATTTATAATATGATTTATACTTAGAGACATTTCTTTGTATTTTGAGAAGCAAGAAGGCCTCAGAATGTTTTGATCATTTATATTCAGTTAAGAGGAAAATAATCTAAATCAGAATAGCATGTGTCGGCTGGTATAATGCAGAATAGCCTATATAATTGGTACAATACGAAAACAGTATAACTCTGTTCAGTTCTGGGATACCCCCACAACCCCGGACTATTTGGAGTCTCAGAAAATCTTTGTCATTGACGGGAAAAGTTTTATAATAAAACTTAAAATGTATTGCATTATTTGTTTTTGCAACGATGACGTCACGCTTATCCTTACTTGATATACGCCGTTAATATAGCAGATAGATAGTATATAGAAATTACATGTTATGATTGTTTCTTTTGTTTTTCAAAGAAAAACACACGAAAGCATACAGAAACACATGCTATCAGAAAGAAAAGAAAAAAAGACAATAAGGAAATATGACAATGCAAGGTGAAAACATTTTGGAAGTTCTCCCATTTCCATATTTAGGCCAAGGGTCAGAAGATCGAGGGAAAAAGATAGGCTACTCTTCTAAATTCCCTTTGTATACATTTCAGAAACTGTCTCTGTATTTGTCTAGATTAAATGTAAAACAAATATTAGTAATGTGTTTTAGTTTTGAATATAGCCTTGTTTTAATATTTAAACAAAATTGCGAAAGAAAGAAAGAAAGAAAGAAAGAAAGAAAGAAAGTTGCACCGATGCATCTGAAAGCTATCAGATTTATTGTTCTAATTCACTTCTCGCTGAGTCAGTACTGAACTTAAATAACAACCACGGGGGAAACGGTTTGACAACGGTTTGTTTCAGCTTCGTCAATGTGTTTGTGTACAATATCTGTATATAATAACAAGTGTAATACTAACAGTATAAAATATAATCAATATTGAAAAAGCCAGGGGGGAAGGCCTACAAGAGATGCTACTATAGGTTGAAAGTCATCACAGCGCGCAACAAATCTGTCATTGCTCCTGAAAATATTTGAAATTGATTTTAGTGAAAAATATAAAGCAAATCGTTTAAATCAACACAGAGAATTCATATTACACAGACTTGTTATCAAAACCCACCAAAAAATCTGCCTGGAAAAAAGCAGTGAAGAGAGGGCAATATCCACGATAATTCAGCCAAACAACAACAAAAAGTGTTTACAAGGGGTCGGCTGAAACTGGAAAATAAGTGCAGCTTATTCAATTTAATCAATCTTTTTCCCTTCTTTTTTTTTCTTACGAGTTTTTTCTGTGTAAAAGCTATTCACAGAAGCGTGGTCCACAAAAATACTATGAAATAGAAAAGGTGTAGTTTGTTGCACATAATGCTCCAATAGTAGACAAGACAATTCCGTTTTGTTAAAATTAGTAATATAATTCCTGTGCGTACAATTGATACGTGTCCTGGGGTAAATTCTTCCGCTGTTTAATATTTAATGTTTGTCTGCATTGATCCATGTCCTTGGGAGTTCTTTTGTCATTTCAATCCATAAAGTCTATGTTGGTTTTGGGCTGGTTATGATTTCGGGATTTCGGTGTCAGTGCACCAGAATCTCCTGGCCATAGGAGCTCGCAGATGTCACGTTGTAGTTGCTGTCCGGTTCATCTTTCAAACTTGCACCTTTTAAGTAATCTATCACAAAACTCCCCTGAAACACAGAGCAAACATAGTAATTTAAACGTTAGGGACATTGGAGGATAAAACGAAGAGCTTTTAAGATTTCAGTTTTGGGTTCTCCCGTAATATAGTCTACATAAAATATTTGTGTTATCTTGCTGACTTGAAGTGTATATAAAATGATTTGTTCTACGTCTCAGTGAACATACGTTTGCAGTCCATGGACGGAGGCGGTGTGTCTGCACTCACGTTGCCGGCATGGGTGTACACGTCCTCGGGCGTCTGAGGGACCCCGGGCGGCGTCATCCTCTTCTCCTTCTGCCTTCGGTTGCAGAACCAGACCCGAACCACCTCCTTTTCCAACTGGAGGTTGCCCGCTAGAGAGGATATCTCCTGCGCTGCCGGTTTGGGGCATTTCAAAAAATGGCTCTCCAAGGCTCCCTTCACGCTCACCTCGATGGAGGTGCGCTTCTTTCGTTTCCTGCCTTGAGCTGCTATTTTGTCGATGCTGGTGGGACTGCCCGTGGTCGAGTCGGCCTCCTCTAGCCACTTGTTCAGCAGCGGCTTGAGTTTGCACATGTTTTTAAAGCTCAGCTGGAGAGCCTCGAACCTGCAAATGGTGGTCTGCGAGAAAACGTTAAACTGTTTGGCAAACTGTTCCAGGTCGTCGGAGGTCGGCGTGTCCTCGTCTGAGTGCGAGTCGTGGCTGTTCACTCCCGCGTGGTGCTGGTGGTGGTGGTGGTGGTGAGTGTGCTGCTGCTGCTGATGATGGTGGTGGTGATGATGGTGATCCATTTCTGGAGAGTCTCTTCGCATCAGCCCCGGGTGGACTAAACTCCCGGGAGGGTTCAACATCCCGTTGACTGTGAAACCACCCGGTTGGGAATAAATGAGAGCCTGCTGGGACTGCTGCTGTCCTCCGGTGATGGTCGGGATGTGGGAGGCTGTGGTGCCACCCCATGCGCTTTGGTGCGACTGGTGAGCCCCTAAATGCGAGGGTCTGTGGTGCAACGCGGTGCTCGAGTGTAAATCTTCTCTGTTTGAACTGTTCTTCACGTCTTGTTGCTGTGGGCTACCGGCCATGCCAACTGGGCTGGAGGACCAAGGGGAGCCGGCTTCTGCCGCTGCAGCGGCTGCGGCGGCGGCGGCCGCGGCAGCCGCATGTGGCAGTGAGGTAACCCATTGATGGGCATGGCTCAGCATGTGCCCCCCGTTACTGGCCGTCATGGCTCCTTGCATGAAGTCGCTCTGCACCATCTTGACCGCGGGGTCTCCTCTGTAACCTCCCGACACCGATGTTACGGCACCGTTTCCCGGCTGCATGCCACCACCTCCGGACTCCGAGTGCACGATCGAGGCTGATGAGAGAATGCTATTGCTGGCCAGGTAAGGATTGGAAGCCGCTGTGGCCATCCCCCCTCACCACTTTGAACAATTCTACTTATTATTCCCCCTCCCCGTATTGTCGTAACTTTTTTTCCAAGCCTCGAAGGCACGCACTATTTCATGAATTATTCAAGCTGGAAAAGTATGCGTGGTATTTTGATTTGGTCCACCGACAGCACAGCAAAAGATGGCAAAAATATATCCGTCAAAACCTCCTTTTTTCATAAGCAAAAAGAGAAAGAAATACCTTCAGCGTAGAAATCCACATTACGCACGGAAGTGATTTTTACAATTGCATTCCATTCTTAATGTCATTGTCTTAAAGACCAATTATGAAACCAAAACGTCTTGTTAGTTCTTCTTCACATCAACTTCACGTCTCGATTACACAAATCCCACACCGAACTTCATCGCGCGCTCTCTTGACTTGATGTGGAGGCTTATCAGGAGACGCTCCTTTGTAAACCTCTCTCTTGTCCTGCAACCCACAAGGCGTTTTCTTACCGAGTCTTGCTTCTCATATTTCTTCTTTTCACAGAGTCCATCTGACTTTAATCTTCAATACGTTGAATTGCACACAACTCTGTTAAATGCACACGCAATGGAGAGCTTTCGCTGTCCTCGCTCGCTCTGTTCCTCTCTCTGAGCGCGAGAGCACGCGAATGTTTACGTTCAGCCCCCGCGTGCGCAAACCATCCACATCCTTCACCCAATTAGCGCGAGGAAGTTTCTGCGAGATTGATGCTCATTGGATATCCTTCGGGAGAGTGACAGATCTTAGGGCACAGCTAAGAAACCACGTCAAGGCGTTGCGATTTGCTATGTCTAATTTGGAGATGTCAGCATACGAATAAAAGTGACTAGACCTTCTATCCGAGCAGGAAGCTTTAGTTGATATAATTCTAGTGCACTGTACTGCATTATTGGCTTCTGTTTAATGACGCAGTAGATGTTTTGTTTTTGTTACAGATGACATTTTTGACTTGTTTTCGTCTCAGCGTTTGTTTTATTTTACTTTATGTTGGTCTTTTGTCTGCAACAGGCATCTAAATGTTCAAATGAAATTATAATTGTGTATGATATTTTACCTATGTACATGCAACAAACAAATAGGGAAATCAGAAAAGATACAGATAAAACAATGCAAACAACAGGCAGATAAAACATTAAGCAATTCAGCTTTGGCTTAGGGGTACAAATGAGTAAGCATAGATTAGATTTTTATCCAGAAAATGTATGTAATCTACTGTTGCCACCTAGCAAGGACTGACAACTTAACGGAAAGCATTTTTCATGGTTTATTCAGATTTATTCTAAGAATAAAGCAGACCCATTTCAAAGCACGAGCCGTGTAAACTTTTAAACTGATTTATTTATTCAATCTATGAATTATCTCCACCTCTCACAACGAGGTTTAAAAAATACTTATAAAATGCAAAAACAAAGCACTAATAAACACAGTCTGTCATAATAACACCAAGTATTTCATATTGTTTAATTTGTTTAAATGGCAACTCTGGTACATGAAACTTGAACAAACGTATATCAGGCCTTTCAGATGAAAAAAGAACCATCAGATGAATAAAAAAAAAAAACGTATTAATCACTGAGTGGTGATTTATTATTATTGTTGTTTGTTTACCTGTAGACTGATCCACCCCTACATATAACCTATTGTATAGTTTCGAGGACAGGGACAGTCGTGCACTGCGAGCGATGAACAGTTAGTGCTGATTTTCATTTGCATAAATTTTCATATGTTTAAGAGAAAATTATAGCGGAGCGGAGGAGAGCGGGATTCACTCGAGACGGAGCAAGAGAGAGAGGGAGCTGCGCTGGATTCATTCCTGCGGTAAGAGATATTCCTCTCCCTCTCTTTCTCTTTCTCGCCCTCTCTGTCTGCATGTTTTGTTTTAATCGCGAAAAACTGTCTATTTTGAATTTAAGAGCCATGCTGTAGCTATTGCGCGCTCTTAAAATCTTCAGTAAAATGTATATCTGTGCAGAGCTTGTTCTTCAGCGAGGCCTTGCGCTGACTAAAAATCACAATATTTATATCAAATAAATGCGGTTTTGCTCGAGGGCCAATAATGGTAGCAAATGCATCAAAGCACAGGGATGCAGAGGGTTAAATGACATCAACTCCTTGACAATTTCATTAAGCTTCTTAGCTTCTTAAGCAAAGACTTCCAGGACTTTATATCATGGACTTATAAGGTAGGCTTCTTATTTATTTATTTGAAGTTCGAAAGATATAACGAATTAGTTATTAACAGTGTAGTTACTCTAGTTTTACTCTATCTGCAATTTGAAAAGAAACAAGTTTGTTTAGTTTTTAAGACCAGCTGGACACATTTTTCACGAGCAGCCCAGTCAATGTGGGCTATTTAAAACGTTTTACGTGTGTGTTAACAGCTATGCGTCGATTCATTTGCTGACTGTAATTTCTACTGCTTGTTTGAAAATGAGCGATCTAATTTCAGTTTCCTAAAATATAAAACAAGATTGATCAAACAAAAAAACCATGTGAAGTGACAGATATTTGCCGTAACAGCATTCTGAATTAATTTGCACAGACTAACATGACCCTCCCTGTAACAGCCCATGCAATAAGTTTATAACGGTTTATGCAGTCCAGTCCATGCCAATCAGCTGGCATGGCTACATAGATGATCCATTAATCACTGCCTGACTACGAAGTCATGTTTAACAATAGCTCAAGGTGTCATTTGTAAATTAAGATATTTTATTTCTTGTTACGCCTTCATTTTGCGCACTAATTGACGCTTGTTATGGTTATTTTAGTTGGGGTTAAAGTCGAGTTTTGCATGAAAGTAGCCATGAAATAGTGAGGACTCTTTACAATGCCATGACAGATTATTAATTAACCTTTAAAAAAAAAAAAGAATAATAATAAAAACAAAAATATATATATATATATATATATATATATA